CCCCCTCCCCCCCCCCCATTACCCCCTCCTCCTAACACTTATCCTACCCAACACCTAACCCTTTTCCTACCTATATCCTTTACAATTAAAGGCTAATATACTTTATATTAACAAACTTCAGATCACACATTTCGTATGTTCTACAACTGCAGCCTATGCCAGGCAGTGCTTCACCTCTCGCCAATGCTGGCTGGCTGCAAGCTATTGAACAAGCATTGTTTTCTAAGACAAGGAATAATGAACCCCTGCAGGGACACAGGCTATCTGTTATTCTACATCATGTGGAGTATCTCATAGACCACTAGGCCTAAACATCAAGTGAAACAAAGCCTGACACAGCATAGAGAAAGTTGTTTAGCCTACAGCAGGGGTCTTAAACTCAATTCACTTGGGGGCCCCACTGGACACATGTTCTTCTCCCATGGGGGCTGCTTGTCAAATTTCATAAAATGTCATACTTTAAAACAAAATTGAACTAGATACGGTACCAATGTTGATGTCTGTGTGTGTTTATAATGTAAGTATATGTGTTTGTGATGGTTTCTTTGTATGCAATGTCAGTATATTTTTTGTGATGGTGTGTGTTTGTGTATTGTCAGGATTACTGTGAGTGATGTCGGTATGTGTGTTAATGTTTCTGTGTGTGTCATTAGTACGTATATTGTGTATGTGTGCAGTGTCAGTATACCTGTGTGTTTTTTTTCCCCACAGGTTTTAATTTTAATCATAGAGGACCAACAGATTCACACATTCACTCACACACAGAAATGCACACATACACAGAAATAGTCACACACGCAAAAATACGCACACAGAGAAATACACACACAGAGAAATACGCACACACAGAGAACTACGCTCACACACAGAAATACTCAAACAGAGAAATGCACACACACACACACACACATGGAAATACGCACACACAGAAAAATATGCACACAGAGAAATAAGCAAACACACAGAAATATGCACACAAAGAACTACGCACACACAGAGAAATATGCAAACAGAGAAATACGCACACAGAGAAATATGCAAACACAGAAATACGCACACACTAATACACATATGATAAAACACACACAGAAAAATACACCCCCCCCCCACACACAGAAATACACACACACACACACACACACAAATACACAATAAAAAACCCCTGCACACACAAAATAAAATAAAATAAAGAGCCCCCTCACATGCTAAAATTTTTCGCAAGGAGGAGGAACATTCCCTGGTGGTCCAGTGGTTGATTAGTACAGTTTGCACCTTTGGCTGGTGCAGACATTAACAATCCTTCTTTTCGGCCGGCATTCAGTGAAGGCTGTCAGAGCGCCGGCCGAAAAGGAACTTCTGAGTGCCGGCACCGCCAGGAGCAGGTATGTGGCCTGCATCCAACAGAGATGCAGACCGTGTAGCTGTTCCCACAAGTCAGGTACATGGTCCGGAATCCCTTACAACAAAAAAGTGAAGTAAAACTGCAGTAAAACTAAAAACAACTGCAGGTTTGCAATATAATGAAGTATACAAACAGTGCAACTGCAGCACAATGAAGTACAACTTCAGTACAAAAAAGTACATCTGCAGTACATTAAAGTACAACTGTAGGTTTGCAAAATCAGTGTTTCTACATCTGAGATAAAAGCAGTCATCGAAACCAAGCTGAACAATGAGGACAAGCTCTTCAAAAGACGCAACCTCCCTGAATAATGTGTAAAGAAATAGGGAATAAATGCATGATTTGTAAATAAACACTGCAAATACATTCAGTTTAACTCTCAGCCTGTTATTTAAAGTTTAAGAAAAGCAAAAATCACATTCACGGTTGCATTGCAGTTTGAGAAATTCATTGCTGTTTTGTAGCTTTATTATATTGCAGATGTGTGAAAATAAAACTTGATATTCTACATATTCCGGTTGTATTTCAGTGGTATTGTAAAACATTTTATTAGCATTGCACTTTAGTAGCATTATAATTAGGGATGTACCGATATGTCGGCCACCGAAACATATCTGAAAATGGCACTTTTGGCAAAATGCCGAAAGTGCAATATTTCTGCCGAAATAGCGGTGCACCTGTGATTTCTCTCCTCCATGCTGGGCGCTGCTCTGTGTCTCAGCGGGGAGGAGAGAAACTGTCACAGGTGGCCGAGCGCTGTGGGAGGAGAGCGCTGTGAGCGGCCGGCGTCTCTCCTCCTTGCGCCGCTCAGCCTCCTATCACAGATCAGGAGAGCGACCGTGTGGGCGGAGACAGCCAGTGCTGTCACAGGAGAATGGCCGGCGGTGCGGGGGAGGAGTGACCTGTCAGATCGAGCTCTCCTCCCCGCACCTAGGTCCGCCTCCTGTGACAGCGTGTGAGGAAGGAGCGCAAGTACAAACACTCAGCGATCAGTGATCACTGAGTGTTAGTAAACATAATCTCTCCTCAATTATTTACAGTATCCTCAATTATGAATGAATGGGAAGTGATCTACATCACCTCCTGTTCATTCATGATTATGGATATAGTAAAACATACTATATCCACATGTTATAAATGAACAGGAACACTCAGTATAGAGGATTCCTGTTCATTGATAACAAGGGCTGCAGAAAAAGAGATTGAGGACCTAAAATTTCCCCGAAGGCCCTAAAAGTAAAGTAAAACATAAAAATATTTAATAAAAATAAATAAATAAAATATAAAAAATGTAAAAGTTTCTAAAAAATTAATTTTTT